ATATATATAAAATATATATATATATAAATATATATTTAAATATATAATATATATATATATATATAATATATATTATATATATATATATATATGTATATATATTATATGTATATATTATATGTATAAATATAAATATAAATATTATATATATATATATATATACATATATATATGTATATATATATACATATATATATGTATATATAATATATATATATATATATATATATATATATATAATATATATATATATGATTTTTGAATTCAGGTCAGCGATTAACTGTTCTTTCTACCTGCTTAGCAACTTTAGCACAAGATAAGTATTATCAACGGTGTTCAGCTAAAGATGGGGTTCTGCTGTTTGTATAACTATAGCGTGGTGCTTAGTCAATGGACAAATCATTTGAGTAATGTTATTATCCTGTAAGAATGTTGAATGTTCATCACATAATAATCTGAAGCAAAATTTTTGAGTCCACCAAACTCCTGTCACGTGATCCACGTGTCAATTGGTGGTCATACAACTAAGTACAAAGTTGACACAGGATCATCCTGTGGAGAGGCCTTCAGCGAAGTAGTCAAGAGCTGAGGCTTGAGTAGTAAGGTGAAGTAAACCCAAGTGCAGAGGTCTGTCTATTTCCATCAAGAAATGCGGTATATATACAAGTAGGGTGCAGTAATACTGCAGGGTCGTCCGCGGTTGTGATGCGCTGATTGGCCGACAGCTGCATTCTTATCTTTCGCGTCGCGGTGAATCAGCGCCGCGGACCTCGCCGTGCTTGCCTGCCGGCAAACTCGGCGTAAGGGCAATTATGCGGAGTGAGGTGTGCCGGTGCCGAGTGAGGTAAGGGAAACTACGCCGAGTGAGGCTGAGCCGGTGTCGACTGAGGTAATTACGCAGAGAGAGGCAGCGCCGGTGCCGAGGTGATTGTGGCCTCTGCCACAATCCCATACAATAATCTCCAAAGAATGTGTAGATAGACTGAAATTCAAACTAGAACATAAGAAAGAACAAACTGTGCAGTAGTTGGAAAACAAGTTTTCTTTTTATGAAGAAAGTATCAATAGTAATTGGAATTTAAAAAATGTAATTAAATGGTTGCTAGTAACTGAGAAAGGGAGATTAGAATATGAAGTGCTTTTTGGTGCAGATATTTTAGATATTTCCCTAACTTCAGTGATTAACTTCAATAGGAAGAAGATAACTTGGGGAGGTTATGATTATATTTTAGTAAACGCCAGAAGACATCAAATCAATCTGAACAAATTTTTTGTCAAAAGAATATAGATGTAAAATCTTGCCGTCATCTACACAACCAGGACTTAATTAACTTCAAGCACATTAAAATGTAATGTTATGGGTAGATACCGAGAACTACTGGTGTTAGTCCATCCGAAACATGATGGTACTGACTTCCGATATTTTGGTCATGGAAGGAAAGCAGACTGTTATTCCATATGTTAACGATAGTAAAATGAACAAAAATATGGTGAAGCACACAATTTGTGGCAGGTTATGAGTATGTAACAAATCGTGAATCTTTGGTGAATACATGGGAGAGTAATGTAAATATTTGTTGAGTAGCTAGAACAAATCGCGCCTAAAATTGATAATGATTTATTCCCAAGGCCTCTTGAAGTGTGTAAGAGTTCAATATACATTGAATAAAGTTGATTGGGATCATTTAAAGAGAAAGAATTAAGGAAGATACAAAAGATGTTATCATTACACGAAAAAGTTTTAATATAGATCCCTGCAAGACATTCATGTTGAGAACAATATTCCAATCCGAGCGCCTACTTATTATTATCTTGATCCGACTGAGAGAATCACAATCACTGTGTTTGAGGAAATGGAGGAGAGAAGCATTATTGAGCTCTCAAAATCAGGCTGGTTTAGCCATTGTTCTGGAAAGCAAACCAAAAGCATTAAGCGATTCTGTCTCGACTATCGCCGTGTTAACACCAATTTAGCCAAGGACGCGTATACTGTTCTACTTGATTGATTACTTAAAAAGGAAGCTGGACATGAATATGTATCATTAGATCATGAGGAAGCTTACAAATTGAACTCGATGAAACAGAGATTAAACTACATGTTCAGATGTTTACTTTAATATATTCATTTCGTAGGCTGCCATACGGATTGAGTTGTGCCACAACCATCTTCAGTAGGAAGATGAAAGAAATCCTTGCTTCTAGTATTTGAGGGGGATGGGTGCATAATTCCTTAGACGACGTGATTTTTTAGGAGACATTTTTGCTATGCTAGAGATGAACAATAATATTAAACTTACTTAAGCATAAAGGACTTCTAACAGAATGGTGAACAGGATAAATGTCAGTAAAATTCCTGGGACACATAGTGTTCAAGGAAGGGTGCAAGCCAGACCCTTTGAAACTTAAAACTATTCAAAATTTTGAAAAACCCTAAGGATATAAAGTCCTTGGATTGTATGTATTCTATAGAAAACACATACCTAGGTTTGGATGCAAAACGAACCCCCCCCCCCCCACACACACAGAACTGACGAGGAAGGATAACATATTTAATTGCTGATTAGTGAAGGTGCCTATTTTTGTGAAAGCACAAGAGAGAGAACCGTTTATCCTAACAACAGATGTCATATGGAACTCAAGGGATGGTAGGATATTATAGTCTTTGAACCCAACAGAGTGC